TTTCATTATAGTTGTATATAGATATTAATTTGGAGTTAGAGGCAGGAATTGGAGATTGAGTGATGACTTGATTTTTTTTTTGGGCTCCTATTAGGATTTTAAAAATCTGCATTTATAAATTAGGGATTAAAGGATTAAGTCTATGGATTGAGTTGAACTTTATTCTGAGACCACTTGATTATATAAAAAAAGAACTAAGTACATAAGAAGTATTATAGCAAGTAGTTTGTACATCAAAGTGTAATACAAATTAATTACTTGTGATTATTTTTATTCTAAACAAAACTTATGCTTTAATTTTATCTATACTATATATAAAAGTGGGAATAAGGGGGAAAATAATAGGATTACTTATACCGCCTATATAATATTTTATTGATATACTTATATATCTATATATATTGAAACATTTTTTTGTTAGGTGAGTTTTGAAAGAATTTTATTCTTAATAATTATTATTATTTTCTTTTTCGTTACTGAATAATTTTTAACTACTACTATTTTAATTTAATAAGAAATTTATATCTCCTTGCAATAAATATATGGTCTATTGATGATTAAACGTTTTTAATTTCTTGATATTTTTTCTCTTATATCCTAAATCCGTTTGATTTAAAAGAAAATAATGTTTAGGAAACTGGAAAAAAAATTAGAACTATATAGTTCTATTTTGCTTACTTTTTGGGGTTTCAAGAATTTGTATATATGTGTATATACTCCACTGGGTAAATAATACTGCTACTGTAGCTAAAATAACTTCTATTATTAATTCAAATTATCCTCTCATTTCTTTACTTTTACCTAGCAGTAAAAAAATAATTTATTATTATTTTTCATTATAGTTGTATATAGATATTAATTTGGAGTTAGAGGCAGGAATTGGAGATTGAGTGATGACTTGATTTTTTTTTTGGGCTCCTATTAGGATTTTAAAAATCTGCATTTATAAATTAGGGATTAAAGGATTAAGTCTATGGATTGAGTTGAACTTTATTCTGAGACCACTTGATTATATAAAAAAAGAACTAAGTACATAAGAAGTATTATAGCAAGTAGTTTGTACATCAAAGTGTAATACAAATTAATTACTTGTGATTATTTTTATTCTAAACAAAACTTATGCTTTAATTTTATCTATACTATATATAAAAGTGGGAATAAGGGGGAAAATAATAGGATTACTTATACCGCCTCAATGAAATTTAGAATATTCAAAAATAGCCTTAATCGCAGCCAATCCAAAAATTATATTTTATACCGAGTGTTTGGATGAGTGGTTCGACACTCTTCTCCCTTAAATGAGATCGAGGGTTCAATATTCATGGATAGAGCAAATACTTACCGGAAGCACTTTATCCCTTCTTGGGCCGACTTGATGTGAACAAGATTTAGTTCTAGTCCTATGGGCTCGGGATACTTGTGGTTAAACAAAAAAAAGAAAATTACATTTTATTATTTGATTGGATATAATTTCTAAACATTATTTTTTAAATAAATAAATATATGTAATAAAAAAGAAAAAATATACTCTTCTTTTTTTTATAGTTGTAGGAAAAATTGTCACTTTATTTGCAGATGATATAACATTTCTTTTATGTAATCTTTTTTTTATTACTTAATTAACTTATATATTTATTTTAAATTTACAATTTAGAATAATAGATATTTGATTTAATTAGTAATTAGAAAAAGGAGAAAAAATATTATAATTACTCATAATTAGTCTAATAATTGGATCTGAGCAGTGATTTTGTATTTTTATATTGATCGTTTTTTTGTCCATCAATAATCAAATTTAATTAAACTTATATGTTCAGAGTATCTTTGAGAATTCTAAAAGTTGGTAGACTTTTTTTAATATAATTTAAGTATCTTTATTAATTGATTCTGAGAAAGAGTTTTTATTCATTAATAAAATTTTTAATTATTTGTTTCTTTTTGTGATTGAAGTAATGTATAGCCAATAAATTTTAATTTAGTAGAGAGTTTTGATATCCGATCTTGCAATAAATAAATGGCCTCTGTTAAGCATTGTTTATTTGAGATGAGTTGCTTTTTTAATCTAAAGTATTGCTTGATTTGAAAAAAAGAATAGATGTTTATCGAAATTGAAAAAAACTAAGAACGATTGAAAAAAAACTAGAACTATATATTTCTATTTCGAGTCATTTTTTGGGATTTCAAGAGTTTGTATGTATGTTCATATATTCCTTTCTCTAATGTACTAGGTAATTGTAATACTATCACAATAACCAAAATGATTACCATTATTAATTTATAGCATCTTTTCATTTCTTTTTTTTTACCTACCAGTAAAAAAAAATTATTATTATTTTTCATTATAGGTATATATAGATATTGATTTGAGATTGAGCGTAAGGGTCAGAGATTGAGTGATAATTTGATTTTCTTTTTGAGCACCTATAAAGGTTTTAAGAATCTGTATTTAGAAAGTAGGGACTGAAGGATTATGTATAAGGATTGGATTGAACTTTATTTTGAGACCACTTTATTATATAAAAATAGAATCAAGTACATAAAAAATAATATTGAAAGAAGCTTATACGACAAAGTCTAATATAAATTAACTAATTGTATTTATTTTAATCTAAAAAAAACATATGCTTTAATATTATATAGATAAAAATTAAAAGAGTATAAAAAATAAAAATATAACAAGTATTGTCAATGGACAACGTACGTCATAAAAAGGACTAATATAGATAAAAAAATGAATACATAACAAGCATAGTCAACTTACTACGCATGTCATAAAAACAGCTAGTTTAATAAAAAGAGAGGATGAATTACTATTTGGTTACTTTCTTACAACATTTCAACCAAAATGGGTAAACTCTAATAAAAATTTATATTTTAAAAAATTAATTTAATAATATGTCTATTTTAACTCCATTTAATTATTATCTACCTAAATTTGAGATTAAGTTCTAAATTTTTTTTTTTTAATTTTGAGATTAAGATTAGTTTGCTGTTATACTGAGGTCCAATTACACAAGTCTCTTATACAACCACTCCAATTACGTTTATTGTTTGAAAATATTTTGTGTGGAAAAAAATCTCATTTAATGTAATTTTAACAATTTTTATGGTTGAAATACTTTTACCATATTTTTCTCACACATTAATTTTTTTAAGAAAATAATTTGGCCATCTTTAACCACTGTAATTATATAATAAAAGTAAAAAATTTTAAAGTTATCAATCTTATAATTTTAGATTTTATAAATATATCTATCTAATATGCAGCTCCATTATTTAATGTAATAATGTTTAATTCAATCTTTTTATTTTACATTTATATCTCTTTACTAAATTAACCCAAAAAAAGTGTGGCCACATAGCCCAAACCTTTTTATATAAAATTTGTATCACCAATTTAATTGGTTAAAAAAATATAAAAATTTAATTAACTTGTAGTTAAAAATATTTAAAATATAAAAAGCAATGTTAAAAAAAAATAATACTCCATATTTGATAAAGTAACTTATTACAGCAGGTTACATGCTACATGTAAGTTGATAAAGAATTCTATACTGATACATAATTTCCTTATTTCTTTACAAAAGCAAAAACCTTTACGATAACACTTACGGGTTGTGACTCAATTTACAATAGAAAGAGATGAATAGTCTTAACTATAATTAAGTTGCAAACTAAATTAGGCAGTCCTCATTAATAGGGTCGGATATAGCGATTTAAAAAAAAAAAAAAAAACCTTTACAATAATTGCCTTCATGATCATAGATATTATTGACCTTTTCATCTAAAGTTAATTATTTGCATGTAAGTGGGGATAAACTTTGGCTTTTAAGTCCATTGGATCTATTATTATATCAGTCTCCATTAATCTTGTTTAGATTGTGTTGGTGTTGAAATGGAACGCAAAGGTGGAAGGATGATCAATTATTAAAAAAATTGAAATAATTTACAGAAGAGAGAGATATAAGGGAGAAATGAAGATGTAACACTCTTAAAATAAGGACATTTTCCTATTTTTATAGGATATTTAACAGGAAAGGTAAAAAATTTGGACGGAAGGGTATACTAGTTTGATGGAAGTAAAATACGTGGAAAACCTAATTTATTGAAAATATGAACATTAGGTGTTATTTTTGACAAAAATACAAGGATAAAATCATAATTCTTTTATTTTAATATTATTTTTTCTTAATCTGTATGAAAATAGAAACAAAACGTATCTTTCTAGAATGCACAAGGGAGTCATAATTATGAATTCACAGTGTTTAAATTGAATCAGCTTGGCATTAGAGAAAACTCATTGAATGATGGAATCATCCTAGAATTAACAAAAGTAATCAAACTTTTTTATTTTAAGAATTATCAGTATTACATTGTTTTTTTTTTTTTTTTTTTTTTTTTTATGGTTTCACCCTCATGTCTTTGCCAACAATTTCTATTGATTAGGTCGCAAAAATTTGATTGATAACAATGTTGAAATTATATATATTATGCATTCTCAAGCAACTCGTTTCAAATTTTATAAGATTCAACTATGACTAATCTACAACTAGAATTATTGGCTAAAAGATCTCTATTTTGATTGGTTTAATTTATAGGTGAGACATATATACTGGATCTAGATAAGTCTAATCCAGAATATAATTAATTTTATTGCAATCATGTAACTTGATTAATTTAATAAAAGTTTACAAATAATTGGAAACATCATTTCTACACGTAATTATTTCAACATTTCATCTGCAAATAAAATCTTGATCTCACCTCAATTTCAATTTATTCATACATTTACAAATAGGAATACCAAAAATTAGAAGAAAGGAAATTATATTGATAAAGATGCATATATATATATATTATAATATATATATAAATATATGAAAAACCGAATAGTTTGAATAACTCAGTATTGACATAATCTATTAATATAATCATTTTCTGAAAGAAAAATAAATAAATAGACATAGAATAAAGGATACAATAAAATAAGAGTGAACAAATGAAAAAAAAAAAAAAAAAAAAAAAAAGATAAAGGACTATTGTTTCATGCATGGCACATGCAACCTTACCATATCTTATTATCTTCTCCTTTCCTTTCTCTCCTCATCCCTCTCCTTCAAATCTTCAAAGCTCCAATCTCTTCTCATTCCAGAGCTCCTCACTAATTTTGGTTCATCAATTCCCTTGAATCCTAATATTCCTGTACTATTTAAACGACGATGTTCCTTCTTTATCTTCTTTGCAATTGGCATAGAACTTTTGCCAATTTTCTCATAAGTTGGTGAGCCCAAGTTTCCTGACCAGCTTCTTTCCACCGGTAAACAACATAGTTTTTCACTAGTTGTTTCTCGATCATACTCTGTACCGGAATTATTTCGTTGCATGTTTTGGCAAGCAAGACAATTAAGACTCATGGTTAAAAGATATCCCAGAAAAATTGACCTCTTCAAGGTCAATCTTTTAGGGCTGGTTGATAAGAGATGAATCGAGAGGAGGAAGAAAGAAAGCTAATGTTCATGGAAAAATAAGAAAGAAGATAAAAGAAAGAAATATAAAGTGATAAGTAAATAGATGTTTCTTTATTTAGACTGGTGGTAGTTATTTTTAATAAAACATTCCCAAAGATGGTTAAACCAATTTTCAAATTAGGATTGCCAGCCAATTTGCATTCATTATCAATGGTTTACATCCAACTATTTAATAGCCTCGTAAAACTGGTTTAGTGATATATGACGCTATTCGCTCTATAAAAACAATTAATGATGACTAACAACTTGAACGTATTAGATATTGAAGTCTACCGATTAAAGAAATAATTGTGCTACCTAACTTCCTAATCAGAAGATTGAATGGATTTAACTTTACGATAAAACGCTTCAAGAATTATTGAAATTAAATAAATAACAAAAAAAAATTAAAAATAGAAATTGCTTTGAAATTAAAAAAAAATATATTATATGGTAACATTTGGAATGTAAAATCACAGAGCTTTTGCAAATAAAAGACAACAATTAATATGGATATAAAAATTTATTGATTGTTGTAGTTAAATTTATTCTTGAGTTTGATATTTTGGAGTTTATCATTGAGGGTATTCTTGACTTTATAGAGTAAGCGGTTATCAAATCATCACGTCCTTAATCATTCAGGTGCATAACTTCTTAGTTGCAGTTACCTCTAACGCTCTTGATTTGTAGATCGTGCAAATAGTTTCGTGGTTATCTTCGTTTAACCACCTCCTATTAACTCCTTTGAACTACAAATTAATTAAATAACAGCCTCTAATTTCAAAGGTCAAATTAATTAATTTAAATCTAAATAAATTATAAGTCTATAATTTTAAGCATGTGTTCCATTAAAATCACAGTATGGTGTAAACAAACATAAAAAAACATTTTCATAGGTTCTTATTCTCTTACTTTATTTTATATTTTTCTTTATTTAACATTACTCCCAGCAATTCCATACCTTTTGAATATATGAGACTATTCTCCTTCGAGGTTCTTTACTGTTCATTTCAGTGTTTTTTCCACTGATTGAACTCTTAACTTCGTCGAGATCGTCCATTGAATCAAACATATCTTGCCACGTATCTTACTTAATGCGACCCTAGCTAATTAAATAAATACTCTTGAAAAGGAGAATCTAGCAGAAAGCATGCAATCACGGAAGTACCCAAGTACTCTTGAAGAGAGAAAGAGAGGAATTTAAACAAGAAATAGAAACTTACCTCTAAGTACTCTTGAAAACAATTCTGAAATTTTTGACGCAATTAATCTTATAGAACTCACAATCTTAATTTGATTGTATTCATAAAATGATGAAGAACACGGTCTGTTCTTGAAAGAAAAAAAGAAAAAAAAACGTTTGTTTTGATTAGTCTTAATGTTGGCTGCCGTCCAGCTCTTACAAAATATAAATACGCTAAGCTAAACCTAATTTAGCTATTAACTTAAGCTAGTCCAGGCCTAAACCTAATATGGCCCAAATGGGCTTAATTAAATACAAAGCCCTAATTTAGCTATTAACTTAAGCTAGTCCAGGCCTAAACCTAATATGGCCCAAATGGGCTTAATTAAATACAAAGCCCAAGTTAACTAATTAAAACAAACATGACTTAAACATTAACTAATCTAGGGCTGGCTCAACTCTGGAAAATAAGCCCAACCAACCTTATACTAATTATTAAGACTACTAAAAGAATTTAAACAAAAACAGGACAAAATGGGCCAGAGGCCCTACACAACCCATACTTAAACTTATAATGAAATAACATCAGCCTCTTTGCACACCTCAAGCACCATAACAAACTTTGGTGCTTCTTCAAGTTCAATCTCACATCTTGCGTAACTATGATCTTGAAGCTCCAATGAGATTTGTTCTTGAACAAATGCATTCAAGGCTGCTTGTAGCTTGATTGCACGAGCTCTTGTGATTGGCTCAGCAGGTAGAGCTAGAGGATCCTTCATCGGGTTCCCTTGACCTGTATCATTACTTTTTACTATTGCTATCTTTTTCCTTGTGAAAAAAGTATTAATCTGAATATGATTATTCTTTGATCTTATGTATACTCCAATTTGTCCGTCTTTGATGAGTCAGCAAATGGTTGATGGTTTATTTTGTTTATTTGTATAAATTGTGATTTGTGGTGTTGGCTTACTAATTCAAAGTGTAATATTTCCTTTATTTTAATTAGTTTGTGTTCTAGTAGGTTGTTAAAGTTTTGGAAGATTGATCCATTCCCTCATTTTTTATTTTATTGCATAGATTATATTTAGGGGCATAAGTGATTTAATAGATGTTCATTGACCATTTGTTTTGCAAGTGCTAATCTATTAATTACTATTTTCATTGTTACTTAGTACAAAAGTATATTTCATTTAAAAAATAATTTTTAAAACGTTTAATTATGTGTATTTATATATTTGAAAAAATATGTTTACAAAATATTCAAATCGTATCATAGAAACATAAAAAAATATATTAAAATAAAATGAAGATATTTGAAACTTCTACCGTTGGATTAAATTATAAATGGAAAATTAGTTAATGGATGTACAAGTGAATTAAAAAAAATACGTATTTTTATTTTTCTCCTTAAATCACAGTTTTTTTTTTTTTTTTTTAAATGGTACACGATTAGATTCAGTAGAGATGGTTTAGGACGGCCAAAGAATCAAGCAGTAATATTTATTTCTCTTCCTTAAGCTTTGTGACTCTAAATTCATTTCAAGCACCATTGCCCATAAAACTTTCTGTACTCCCTCTTCATGCTAATGTCAAACCCACCAGCCATCATCTCCTTAAACTCCAAAGATTGAAAACCAGAACTACCCTTGATGAGAAAGAGCAAAATGCCCCTAACCCACTTCTTATCCAAGAAGAAGAAGTGCAGGCTAGAAGCAACTTAATATGTATTTTTCCTCTTCTTATTTGATTTCTTGATATCATTTGGAAATACTTCAATTGATTCCGGTAATTTCTTGTAAATTATGTGGATATGTTGGTTTAAGAGGTAGAGAAGAGTGTGAAAGTGTCAAAGGAATAATGCAAAGACAAGAAAGGTTGCAAAAGAGGAGGGTTCGTCAGCTCTGTTAGTGATTGAGAAGGCTAAAATTGATCCTTCTGGGTTTCTTGATACACTTGGTGGGTCCCAATCCCCTGGAAGAACTTGGATGCTTGTTTTCACTGCTGAGGTTAATTTAATTTAATTTGTTCCTGGTTGGTGATTTTATCTATATCATTAACTTGTGCTTATTAATTTTTCTTTTCCTTTGTCTGATTTATAGAAGCAATTAAAGGGTGGAAGATACGTCCCTCTTACTGCTGTTCAGAGATTTGATGGTGCTGTAAGCTCTCTTTAGCCTTATTATGAAATTATTCTTGTTTTTTGTAATTAAAACAATGATCTTTGGTTTAGTAGTATCGGAGTAATCGACAGAAATATACTATTAACCATGCAAATGTAATAGTATGGTTTAGATTTTTTTTTTTTTTTAACAATTATTTCTATCTATTTAATTAGAAATTTGCATTAAATGAATAAAATTTTCAGTATATTTTATAATAATAATATTAGTACATTTTGTATGTATCTAATTGGACTGAGTAGAGAATGATTATTTTATATTAACTTTTAAAACATATTCTGTAGAACATTAGAAATAAGATTTATGTTCTTAATGTTGATTTAATTAATATGAGCAAGTATACATGGCTTTGTGCTTTAATTCATTAAAGAGTGAGTTTCATTTATCGGGACAATAATTCTCAGTGAATTGGGCAAAAACAATTTGTGTTTGTGAAATATTAATTAATGATAAAATTCATGTCTCGGTGTAGAGAATCATGATGCATTTTAAGTAAGCTTATAATGTTTCATTATGTAAATCTTGCAGGTAGATGCTTAATCCGACACATGAAATAAGTTAAGCAACAATCTTAAAGATTAAAATTGTTATTTAAATAAATTGTCAGTAATTTATTTTATTTGACAAACATCTGTAATCTTTAATAAGGAGTTTAATCATAAATTTTTAGTGGAATAATTAATGATTAATTATAATAAGAATATATTGGTCATGTATGGGTTCTTATTATAATTTGTGGCCTTATTAATTTATTCATACGGTCCATACTGTACCTTAATTTTTTGGATCGTACGTGGATTATGTATTTTAAATAATTAATAGATTAATTTTTTAATTAAAATTTTATTTATTAATTTTAATTAAATGTAGTAAACTTTATATTTTGTTGGATCGTACGTGGAGTAGTAGTTTTAATAAATTAAGAGATTAATTATTTTAGTTAAAAAGTTTTTAATTTATTAATTATTATATTAAAGGGGAATAATCTTTTTAATTAAAATTTTATTTATTAATTTTAATTAAAAAGGGATAATCTGTTTTATTTAAAATATTAATCAGGTTAGTAACAGAATGATCAATCTTATCGTTTGCCTCCCAAACGGATAAGAGATATTATTTGTGATTTTCTTTTGGAAGAAATAATAAGCAATTATTTCGCTTTTGGACCTTAAACTAATCCATTGGAACTTCTAAATTAAAATTCAAGAACAATTTTTTTTTTTTTTTTATTGTAAAAGCATAATGATTATATTTCCGAAATGAAAATTCTGTCAAAATTTTCTCAATTCCCTTCTGTGAAAATTGGAAATGATTAGGTGATATTAGCTTTTCTGGGCCCATGCTTTGTGCAATTAAAACCTTACTGTTGTTTTTGTTATCATGTTTACGAATTTCCTCTATTTCTCCCTTTCTTAAATACTTATCTGGATACACAATTCAATTATATTCATTTCGTTTCATTTTCAAATATTCTGAAGGATTCTTTGAGTATGAACTTTCCCTTGTTTTCACCTTTTTCCATTTGTAGAGAATAATCAAAATTTTCAACTGCCTATATCAACTTTTTTTTTTTTTTTTTTTACAGCAAAATTTTTAATTTTATTAATTAAAATTTTTAATTTGCAACGCTGACATCTTCCATAAATCTATATCCAGCTGAC